AACAGTTATTTACGTGCTGTAGGAGGATCAACCCCCAGGAACGGCTCGCGGCTTCCGTACGATATCGTTTCCTCCACATCAAGTATCTCCTTATCAGGCTTACAAATCCCATACAAGTGCACACTCTTTACTTCATCTGAAGACGAAAAGCTTGGAAGGCACTCGAACATTCAATAGCGCTGTATTGCTGTATTTGAGAACAAATACACGAAATGACTGGTCCTGCTCACAGCTGGCCTGCGAGCTTTCACAGTGGGTGATTAGTGCCTCAGGCTTTGTTCGCGATTTCGAATCGGTAGTTCGCTTTGTGCATGACGACTGCGCCATGCAAGACTGCAGCCTGCGAGCGCTCATTGCTGAGTACGCTGCTTGCGTGATCAAAGATGTGTTGACATTCGAAGATTGGGCAGGGCTGCCTGCGGTCGTGGCCATACTTGAGGCAGATATATAGGCTTAGCATTGGTACGGTCGATGCAAAAGTGTCTGGTACTTTGATAGTTAAAATTGGTCTCCTAGATGTCCCCATATATCTGTGGTTCGCGATGCTGTGTAAAGCCTGTAGTTCTCTTACAACGAGGAGGGAAAGGGGTGTCAAAATAGATTGTACTTCTGAAACCTCAACTAAATCAGTGCGCAGTGGTCCTCCACTACCTGCTGGACTCTTTCATGTGAGAACTGCCAAATGTATTGGGAAAGTTACAGTGAATGCTAGTGGACTACTACAGTCTTTGCCGACCTTCAATAGCAATACTTACGGGACTAAACTACTGTCCTGTTATTTCCCAATCCATAGGGTCCCCGTTACACTCACCGCCCCCGCCTGCCTGTCGAAGCTCGCGCTGCTTCCCCATCGGAATCTCAACCTCCTTCAGAGCAATAGCATACACAGCTTCCAACCCCCCCATTATTTCCATCACAATCCATCGCATATCATACATCCTCGACGACACCTCCTCTGACTCTCCCGGGTCCTTCCATCTATTTCTCAATTCTTTCGCCTGCCACAACGCCTGATTCACACTTCCTGTTCCTAGAGTAGCGCGCAGTGAACCATTTTCATCCAGCGCGTTCAACACGTCGTGATGGTAAGAGTGACGTGACCATCCATTCAACGGAAGTCCACCAATTTTTGGTTTACTTCTCTGCCTTTGCACGGAGACCCTGAAAATGTGTAGTAAATTGACAATAGCCTGTTCAATTAACGCATAAAATCCTTCAAAATCCAGTTTAAAATTACGCTCTGCGTCTTTCAATGTGAAGCCAGAGGCCAAGGGTATTGAAGTGCGACGATATGAATCACTGAGGCCGATGAGCTTCCAGCGGAGACGGTGCCAGGTGTGTTCGAAGCACCGGAAGGCCACAAGACGGGTGGGAATTCCCGCATCAGAAGACGTTGCACTTGCTTCTTCCGAATCCGTCATCATTGAGGCGATGGCCAGCGCTTGCGAGGAGGCAGATCTTGGTTCATGGAGGCGTGTGTCGAGCATGTGATGCGAATGGGCCGAACGAGGTCCTCTCTTAGGCATTTTGAGGTGGTGACTTAACTGCGAGGTTAGATAAATTTCCGTGATGCTTTGCACCAAATTAATGAGAGCACAGTTTAGGACGCGTTTGAACAGTTATTGACGTGCTGTATAGATGCGCGGTCTTAGATTGAGGTTCCCAGATCACAGACCTCAGCAGCGAAGTCTAAAAACCGAGATAAAACCCGCCTCGTCCACAAAGGACCCGTACGCCTTTTGAACGTAATGGCTAATGCATGTGTATGAAATCAAGAACATTGAAAGTACGTTTTAAGACGACAGCCTCTCGAGGGGCGGCATTCTCGAGTTTGCCCGTATTCAACAAAAGCGATCTAAGTGATAACAATACTAAAGAACTCTTAAAGGTATTTGATCCCATTTAAAATATAAGATTAGATTCAGACTGCTTAATTGGAACCGATCATGATTTCCCCATAATATTAGCGCATACTAACTACTCTTGCGTGGTTGCATAAAGCGAACTCCGTTTAGATACCTTAAGCCGTAGCAGAAATTCAAGTGTTCGGTAACAGAATTGATGCATCGTGTTGCCCTTTGAAGATCTATACATAGTGCGATGGGATCGCCTCCTCAGCGTTTCATATACGACCAAGAATGACATAAGAATCTTAGGGCCACAGTGATCGAATCCGAATCCATTCTCACGTATCTTTATCCTCAACACGCCACCCATGTGCAAATTTTTATCGCTAATAAATTCGGCGAGAGCCTCATTGGTCTTCTGGTCTAGAAGTGTAAAATTCCGGCGGCTCATTCCCCGTGTATGCTTCGTTATCCAACGGAGCTCCGCAGACTCTCCGTGAGGGAGAAACGTTGTCCATTTGTACTCTTCCTGGCGGTGATCTTGCCTCGCTAAGTATATCTTCTTCTTCTTCTTCTTCTTCTTCTGCTCCTCCACCTCTTCCCAATGTGTTTCGTGTGGCTTATTAAGGTTATTAAAGCGAATATGGATCTTCCAAGAAGCCCAATGCATGTAGGATACAGCAATATCTGGAGAGGAGGTGTGCAGGTCAAGAAGGGTGAGTTGCTGAAAGTGATCATTAAAAGTCATTTGAGCATAGAATTCTCGTCGCTCCTCATCTGACAGGACATTGTAGCCCGGCTGCAATGGATCCCTCCATATGGCAAAGCGCCTCACGATGGTGTCTTCCTCGTCAGCGGAGGCCACCGATGAGTCCGGAGCGAGCCAAGACAGGAGTTCCCGAGTCATTTGTTGAACTAAATAGCACTCGAATTTCACTGAGCACCTCGGCCAGGGTGAAAACCCGCTAAATTAAACCTGCATATATATATGTATATATACATTTAATACTGATGCTTACCTACGGCTTGTAAGCGTCGTTTAGTAAATAGATACACGGAACTTAGACCCGAAGGTGCTCAATTCAAGATGCTAGGTGCCGCGATCGCAGGTCTCAATAGTGGAGTCCAGTAATCAAAATCCTGAATTGGAAACTAATCGCTCTGCACGATGCCGCTATTGGATAACAATTGATTCTAATTCAGAGCCGCACACCCCACTGTGCTATCGGCCCTGATGACGTATTCGAAACTGCAAACCAAAGAGGCCAAGAACCAAGAAAACTATGCGATTTGGTCTTGGATCGTGGATTGAGGATCCAAGCTTCAAGTGGCGGAATTGGATCATTGCCTAACTCACCATAAATACGATACTTCTGCTGATAGTTTCTCCCAGCTGACACCATTGTTTATCTAAACTATTGTAGCGTCGCCACAAATGGATAGTCTCCGATCACACTGAAGCCGCTTTGGGGCCACTTGATAGACTTCCCCAGGAGCTATTTAGTAATGTTACGCACTTTCTAACTCCATTGCAGAAAAAACGGATGTCTAATTCAGAGCCGCACACCCCACTGTGAAACTGCAAACCAAAGAGGCCAGAACCAAGAAAACTATGCGATTTGGTCTTGGATCGTGGATTGAGGATCCAAGCTTCAAGCGCCGGAATTGGATCATTGTCTAACTCACCATAAATACGATACTTCTGCTGATAGTTTCTCCCAGCTGACACCATTGTTTATCTAAACTATTGTAGCGTCGCCACAAATGGATAGTCTCCGATCACACTGAAGCCGCTTTGGGGCCACTTGATAGACTTCCCCAGGAGCTATTTAGTAATGTTACGCACTTTCTAACTCCATTGCAGAAATAACGGATGATCGAAAAGCTCGATAATCCCGAAGAGAAATTCTTTAAGGCCGAAATTTTCTCTGCTTGGATCTGGAGCAAGATATTTAAGCCAAAGTCGTGGCCAGACCAAATAGCCGAGCGACTTCCGAACGAAGATCTTGCTCTTATTAGTCCTGATCTTGAAAAGCTGTCTCGTCATCCGAACGCTGACGCATTTCTACTACTTCTGGTACTTGACTGGTCATGCGATACTAGATACCAGAAGCCTGGTTTGTTTGAATCCTTCCAGAGCCCTGAATTGTATGACAAGCAAAGAAAAGAGATTAGGTTAGCGGGAACTTGCATCAAAGTCCAACTTGGTCGTGACCCGTGGGGTGAGGTAACCGAAGTCAGAGATCCAAGTGTGTTTCTCCGCCAGAGCAATGGGAAGCTATGGACGAATATTCTCTATTATTCTGATGACAGTATTCACACTATAGGAGAAGAGTGCATTAGAGGAATTGATTGGACCGAAGAAACAAGCAACATATCCGCGAGAGGTGTTCAATGGATATACTATTCAGGGATGGAATCGTGCGGGGCATGATGCTATTTGCTCATGAGAGGCCAACTGAGGTTTTTGGAATAAGATCAACTCAGAGAGGGGGATTAATAATAAGGTGGAGATTGCCGAGAGCAGGTGATGACTGGCGGCAGCTTAGCACCCATTATGAACACTAGATACCGGACCATACTAGTAACTGGTATAATTCAGCCCGAAGGGCGTTTATTCATGTACCATGTTTCCTTATCTTCCTAACAGTTCAGCATGGGAGGTTGGCCATGTACGGGAGTTTTGAGGGGGGGAGGAATGAGGCGGTCCGCGCCAACGAAGAAGCTGGTATGATCCGCCTCCAGACGGTTCGTGATTAAGAGTGCCTTGCTGTCCAGATATATCTTGTTGTACATTAGCGTGTGATGAAATCTAAACCCCCATCTCGCCACTCACATTCTGCAATAGGCTTTGTATCGTGCAGTGCGTAAGTCGTCGAGAACGGCTTCGCAAAGCAGGTCGATGTCCTTGATAGACATGGTAAGATACAAGCTCATAGGGCCGTAGGACAGGGCTTTAATGGCGCGACTAAAACCAGCCCCAAACCATAATGCTACGTCTCTCTCGTGACGGTCTTCCGACCAAGGAGTGAAGCCGACCCTGATTGAGCAATCGTGGATATCTGAAAATCCAGCAGTTCTGAGTTGTCTTCTCGTTCGCTCTGGTTCCACTCTCATCGAACGACCGTGCCGATCCATGGCGCGCAGCAACTTGTCAGTCCAGTCGACAAGGGCGCATTTGTACGGAATATTGCCGCCCTTGAATCGTGGTTCCCAATCTATTTCTACCTGCTCTAAATATCCGACATTCGGTTTTAAGTGTCTGCCAGTAAATTAGTAACGCGCCGATAGAGGAACATGTTGGACTGTGACTTTCGAACCGATGTATCTTCCTGTACATGTCTTCCCAACAACGAACAGCCCCAAAGAGCGTTCGGACATGTATCAAATCCCAGTTACGTTCCATAGGCTTCCAATCGCTCTCTATGTCAAACTCCATGGGGGGCTCCATGTTTGCCGGGATCCTAGTCATATTAATGAGGGTTACCCCCAGGCGGTCCGCAGCTCGTCTTGCTCACCTTTCGGGTTGAATCATATTCATGTCTACCCCGAGTACAGACGCTCGTGGCAGTGCCCTAGATTGAACGCGTCGGGCAACATTCTTTGTGCAACACCCAGTGGACGTACTCGGCCATGTCAATTGACCAGATCCCCGTTCCTGTCCCGAGATCAAGGATCCGTAAGTCTGTTGTGGGATCCAGTGGCGACGAGAACAGGGCATTGCCCCGAGCTGTGAGGAAGAGTTTGTGAAATATATCCAAGCGCTGCAGCTCTTCCTGCACGGAGCATGTTTAGCAGCAGTCCGGTGTCCACAGGGCATTTGAGCTTACCTCGTCAATTGGAAATATATACTTGCTTCTCTTCAGCTTGTCGTCACTTCTTCCATACCATCGATCACCAAATAGACGTTGCACATGCTGCAAACGCTCGGGATACTGTCTATGGGCGTGATCTAGGTGGCCAATGTCAGTTCAGTACATTCACCGCCGGGCTTTTAAGCACTTCAGCTGCAAAGCAAACAGGGTTTCCTGCAGTGTTTACCCTCTGGATTCATAACGAGTGGAACCGCGTGTGCGTTTTGATGTAGCCAATGTCTCATCATGTACGATCCTCGTTTCAGAAAATGCAGGAGGAAGAAATCTCGGTTCGGGTAATGCTCGGACTTTTTCATAAGCCGCCAGAGCCTCGGGGCACGCGAAGCAGCAACACTAATTCTGGGATGCGGCTTCTGAGCAGAAATGTTGCATGTATCAATAGCAGTCATAGTCGGCCAGGCTTCCTTTCTTATTATTATTATTGTCATATGTGCTGGTTAGCTCGCATGGTCTATTGACAAACAGCTGGACGACAGCTGGCCGAATATTTTGATTGCCCTCATGTTAGGCATTGGAGACCTGGCAGGGTGGGCGTATTTGATCATTGGAGCTTGATTCTTGAAAGTCATAACTCTATTAAATACTTATTGCGGTGTCAATTACACCTCATGAATGCTCGCAGTCTCGTATCTCTCTGTGTCGTTTAGACCATGGCTGCATCCAAAGTATATACATCGTCTGCCGAATTGAGTTTCCCTTTGCATGGCCAAGCGATTTGCACCGCTCTAGGGTATCGGCTCATCGACTGCTAGGGCGACGAGTCAGAGCGGACCATACCTTCTCAGGCAGAACTGGATCTCGTATATGACGTATTCTCAAGCAGTTAGTGAAGGGTCATCCGGTCAGCCATGCCAACTTCAAGGGTATCTTGCCGTTGAAGTCTGACGACAGTGCATTGCTGCCTGAACCCGACCTCGGCAAAGTTCAGGGTCTCCATTCCATCGCCGCCAGATGCATAGTATCCCAATGCGCACTGCACGCCGAAACACAACGCTGGAGTATGAGGCAAAGACTGGAAGTATCTAGTCGGGGACGTATTCGAGATGCTAGAGTGACTGGGCCGCGCCTGTCCCTACGGCCTTGTTTGCATCGCTCCAACTTGCAGTGAAGCGATCGACGGCGTCGGGGGAACAAGCCAAGCAAGCTTCGGCATGTAGAGGTGCCATTTGAGCCATTGCTTCAGATCAAGCACTGCGGTTGCTAAATTATTCTTAGGTCTTTTGACATGTATGTCACCTACAAAAGGAGAGCATTTGTTGATGCTACACAGGTTTGGTGGGGTGCCAGAATTGTGCATTGTAGTTATAGCAGCGAGGAGCCCAGGCCAGCACAGGTGTCTTTGGGCCGCAAGTGGAGGATTGAGTGACTGCAAGTCACCTACTCCGTAGATGTGCAAAGATACTTGCTCAATGGTGCCAGCTTGTCACTAGGACTTTGTCTAATTCTCGACCGCTGGACTGCACTGAGGATACTGACAGGGTGTAAATGCTTGGACGACGCGAACCAAACCATCGCGTTCGCGCCACCCCGGCCTGTACACTATCTGAGCGCGCTGGGTCTTGAAGACCTGTTTTATTTTTCTCTAATACGCAAAATCATGATCAACTACGTCGCAGCGTCTCCTTCCTATTGCTCCTAAAGTATCTTCAAGATTTCCCCGCTTTTTCGCGTCCCTGGGTGATGTTTGCCTACCATTTTCTCCCTCAGCTCGAGTGTCTGCTGATGCTTCTGCTCTACCTCCTCGTACCTCCCTAGTTCCTATGCGCAAGCCAACCTGGCAAGGTTGTTTATGCTGTCAATTGTGCACGAACAGTTGCTAAATACTCTGTTATAGCCAATAAGGACCTGTCACTCTGCTTTCGACAGAGGGGAGTTTCTCGTAAAGCTTGGTGCCCTACTGAAATTGTAGGCGCTGATAATATACCACCGTTACATTATACTGTTAAACTCGCCAGAACCGACATTGCAGAGCTCCTTCTGCGGCATGGCGTGCCCGTGGATATGGCGGTTGTGAAGCTGGGAAATATATGGAAGTCAAGAGGCCGCAGAACCAGCCCTTTCTTTGCAAGCCGCCTAGCGCTGCATTGGTTGGCCAAAACGCGATGGTTTCTTTCGACTGTCCTCCCATGCAGTAGTACCAGATAATACAACTGGCTCGCCGTCGCCAAATTTTGGGCAATTCACAATTTCTAGTGCCTGTTCTCTTGTGCCATTGTCTCTCTAGGTGTCTCTTTTTAATTCACCTCCACGGTTCATCACCCCGCAACACCACCCATCCGAAGCTCTCCATGAGCTCAGAAGCTGGGTGCTCTAGGACTCCTGAATAGAGACTTATGACAATCTTATTCAGCGAAAAAAAAGCGTTTCAAGAGCCCATCAGATCTTCATTAAGACTGCTCTTCTGCATTGTGGCTCATGGTCCTTGCCATTGATCAAAACACTGGAGTTGTTGCTGTGAACGAACAATTATAGCGTAGTGAGCTTGGCGCATCTTTCTTCAAGTAGTTTCAAGATGAGCAAATCTTCTTCCCTAACAAGGACTTCCCCTGGTGGACATCCCGACCTTGGATCTGACCGAGAACCCAAACCCGATCCTAGTGTGCAGCATCAGCTAGAAGAGCGAACAGAGTTGCAAGCTATCCTAAGTGATTTCAGACGAGACTTGGGTACAAATCATATCACAGACCGCAAGATCCGAGCCGTTGACCTTATGGTTCTTCTGGCATCTCGCCGTGAGGTGCGTTCTCCTGCCCAATCGTCATCCACATCAACCCTGTTGCATGGAAGCAATACGCGGGGGGCTCTCCCGACATCAAGCCTGTAATGCCTAATGTCAATGTTAAGGAGATACCTCTTGTACTCGGTAATACGCAGTGCATATATTGTGTCGGTCAAGAGCAGCTCCCATACAATAGGCGCATGCGCCCATTCAAGCGTGTGTCTCATATGATGGACCATGTGGAAAAAGTGCTTCTCAGGCACGAGCACCAGGAAGGAACGTTTGTTTGCCGCCACCCGAGCATTTGGGTGACTTCCTAATTAGTTTGGATGCCTTTAAGGACCGCGTGCATCGAGTACATGGCGTTAAGCTTCGGGCTAGCAAACCGCAGGAGACTCTTTAGTGTTACGTTCTTTGGTGTGATCGAATGAAGCATGGGGTAACTTGATTGACATGTTTGTACTCCATGGTAGATTACTATTTCATAAAGTAAGGTTAACGGCTATCACTTAAGCGAGCTTTCATTTTCCGTTCGAGCCGAGGAACTGCTACCATTTCTGCGTCATTGCCTATGGACACCAACTCCAGCTTCGAGGTGAGCTCGTCGACCACACAGCTCCTGGCTAGTCATCCTCCCTTGCTAACTTTCCCTGGAGCATCTTGACGACGGTTTCGTGTTCGTTCTGCGCGGCCCATGAAAGCGGCGTCTGACCGACGGTATCCTTCGCCTCGACATTGGCTCTGCCCGTATCTAGCAGCAGCTCGACGACAGCCTCGTGCCCCTTCTCGGCCGCCCACGAAAGCGGTGTTCGCTCGTCGTTGTTCCTCGACTCGAGATCGCCTTTGTCCGAAGCAAGGAGAAAAGCAACGATCATCGCCTCATCGCCTTTCTCTGCGAGATGTGAGAAGACGCCCCGTCGTCGCGAGAAATTGAAGTTGCGTCCAAAGTCAGGCCGTCTGTTGCCATTCTGGTAATACTGTTCACAAAGGTCGTGAAGTGGAGACGTTGAGAAGTAATTGTTGTAGATCCACGGCTTCGGAAGGACGGTGCCGAGAGGCGCCAAGTGGAACTTTCCGATGCTGTCAAAACGTGAAATTGTGGCTCTTGAAGATCGCAAGGCGGGGAAGCCGCCCAAGTGTACCTCTCGGGCGCGCCACTCCACTCTCCGTCCCTGTTCTGGCAGTGATCGACGGATTGGGCAATACGACTGACATTGGAGCCACGATGCATTACATTATATTGACTGACTACATTCCCCATAATGTTATTATTAATGAGATATATTGAGGCGCCAGGCTGTAGTCTCTTACCTCCACAGGATCTCCATCACGAAATACATATCAAGGAATAGCAACTAATGCAATGTCTATGTGGCTGTGCCCTCACCAGCGACCCGGGAGCCAGAGTGTGGGGCGCTTTTGATGGCTTTGGCCCACGAAAACACCCACCTTGCAAATCTGCAGGTCAGCCCCCAGCAGGACCAAGTCAGGCAGCAAGCTGGTGCGCGTCACCTCTCAAGGCAAGAGCCACATATCCGCTTCCGAGTGGGGTAAAATCAGTGAAATACGCATCACTCCAAAGTCTCTTGACTATCTCCCGGCGTGGACTGCCATCAGCTTGGAGTAAATATGGCTTCCAATGTCGTTAATATCGACCCGGATGGAGACGTCTTCATCATTATTCCGACGTCGGCAATACCTTCAAATCTTGATGTGACGAATCAAGAGGTAACCACGAAGACCGAATCATCAGATTTACAAGATGATATTCAATATCAAGATGGCAGCACTATGCACATACACCCCAACCCTCCTAAGGAAGAGGCATTGGATGAAGGTTGCTGCTGAACCCACCTTTGACAACTAAAATCTGGAGCACCTAGCCTAAGTCTTCTTCTAGATCGAATGGATACAATGTCTACAGAAGAACAACAGTCGGTGTTGCACCTGCGGGTTTCGAAAAAGCATCTAATAATGGCATCAGCTCGTGCCAAGACAATGTATCGTACGAAATGCAAGGAGTCGGTGCCCGACGCCGATGGTTTCTTCCACTGGAAGTTCGAGCCAATTTTCGATCGAATGGCATTTGAGATTGTTATGAATATTATTCATGGACAGACTCACCTGCTGCCGGACAAGGTGACTCTTGATACATTGGCCCAGGTGGCTGCCATCACAGATGATCTGCAGTGTCATAACGCGGTGAAGTTTGTAACGGATGCGTGGCTTGAAAGGATGCAGACGTCCCCGCCTAAAGAGATATGTCCGGATCTCCGTAAATGGATTCTCGTCGCTTCAGTTCTTCATCAGCCTGATATTTTTCAATCAACTACGCGTCTGGCAATTGTGCAATGCAGAGGGCCTCTTCTTGGAGATGACATTCCTATTCCTCCCACAATTATCGGTAATGCTAATACTTCTGCATACATGTGACACGTTTGGTGCTAATAAGAGGACAGATGGAATCGAGTCGATGAGGATTCAACTGCTTGGTGAGTTGACCAAGGAAGTGGAGCAGACAATAGACCGCCTGAGCCGAGGCAACTCCCCTTGCACGTTTGAGTGTCGGTCTATGTTGCTCGGAGCATTGATTCAAGAGACGCAATGTGCTCGTATACGACTGTCAGATTCGTTTGGGTCTCTGCCGAACATCTCTCTCACCACCGCGCTGAGTGATATACGCAATTTTCGTTCACCGGATATCTACACGTCGCTATCCGAATACGACGGTCCCATGGACGAATATCAAAGCCGAGAGTCCAATGTAGCCTGGAAACTGGAACGGGTATTTGAAGAGCACGGTCATGCATCCTACTCCAAAAAAGACAAAAAGCACCGCAAACGTATCTCCGCCTCAGATATGCGGGAAAACGAACTTGATGCGTATCCAAGGACACTTTTCAGGCACCAATGCTCTATAGTTAGGCTCTTTGAACCTTTCTTGCAGAAATTTGAAGCGAGTATAACTGGGCTTAACCTCTCTGACTTCTCGGGAATGGAGTGACAGATTTCATGCTTAACTCCTTTGGTTCAATAGCGGAGCATAGCTTACGAATACTCAATCAATAAATAACTATTATATGCTAACTTGATGCACTGTTGTACCTACTACACAGACACTATTATATGTGTACAGTGGCCAAACCATTGCGATAAATGTGCCTCTGTAGTGCAAATTTTGAGATCGCATATTGTACACAACGCAGGCTCAGCGGGGAAGATAACGCTACACTGCAAAAGATGCTGCGTAGCCCGGTGCGTGCGTATCTCAACGAGTGCAGCCTTGCAAAAGTTGCTCTAATATATCCACTTAGAAGCAACACGTTAAACAATATGAATGGAGCACTTGTGCCATTTGCTATGAGTCTAATGATCTTTTGTATACAACTTGCGGTTTGCCAGTCAGGTCACCTTCATTTGCCCTGAAGCTCTAACATCTTCTAGGTCATGTATTTTGCAAAACTTGCTGGGGGGTTTGCCAGCTGCCTCAAATGGAGGATAATGGCGCCGCCCCACGCTGCCCAATGTGTCGGAGGCAGATGATGGCTTCGCCAGTTTCAGTAATGTCTCGTTTTCTCGGCCGGGAGATCATAATTTTGGATCCATAGGCAACAGATACGGATTTGAGCTCCGTGGTGACTCCAGAGCATGCTCCTGCAACTCAGGCACCGTGTTCATTCTGAACACCTTGTCGCTGGCCTACACGCTCTGCAAGACACAAGCCCACATACACCACATGCACAAACACACAAATATAAGTAGATATTTCTTGACACCTGCTTAAGTAATGAATAAGTTAAACAATATTTTTTGGACTTCCATATATTGCAAACTGGTGGATTGTACACAGTACAGACAGTACATAGCATAAACAACAGTATTACCAGAGCCACTTTTGCGGCCGTCAAACTCTCCACGATACATGTATCCTGATATGCTGGGGGGAGAGCAGTAAGTGCTATATCAGAGGTGTATTCCTGGATGGCGCGGAAAATGAGGCCGCCGTATGGCATAATGTTCGCCACCCGTGGTTTGCATCCAGAACTACTTGGAAGAAGGCTGACAAACAACTGCACGGACACCGGTGCTTCAGCTGCCACTTGCATCTGATGATGGACTCTACACACCATCCAGCTCCTTGAGCCTAAAGGACAATTAAAACCGTAACGTGTCTACGACACGATCGCGACCGGCTCCAGCCGCCCAGGCGCATATTATACCGCAAAGAATCTGGGCACTTGAACTCCATAACACCTAATATCACAGCCAGTGTCGAGAGGGAGTTGGTACCCTATCCTGATACAGCGTGCCTTGCCCACACACGGGATGACGTGCACAGGCAAATAGCTAGGCTCGGGCCGGATGGCGCGGCGCCACAAATCTCTTAAATAGTTAAATTCCGCAAAGTTGTGACATACGTTCCACTAATTAACATGATGGACTATGCAGTTTCATGTATTACAGTGTGTATCTAGCAGGTCCCATGGGTAACACCAGTTTGGATTGTTTGGTTTCAGCGGTGTGGGACCCAAGAAGAGCCAAAAATCTCAGCATGAAACGTCACACTGGAAGAAAATTCGGTGCAGGAGCGGAGATCAATTGTTATATCCATTGGTCTTAGTGTCGTGAATAAAGCACAGGTCAATCAGTCGCCGTCAATCAGCCTAGACAGCTTATGCAAGGTAGCCGCGGCCAGCACATGGACGAGCACAAAAGACGCGGGGAATTTCTCGACTGGCCGGAGCCCCCCTGTCCTTGGCTACAAATCCAACGTCTCGACTCCATCTTTCCGTCTACAGAGTTAGTAGCATGCGCCGAGCTACTGCATGATTCGTCACGGGTACGTGAGAAAGTTGGACGGGAGACGGGAAGCGGGAGGCGGGAGGCGGGAGGCGGGAGGCGGGAAGACTGCAGACGGAGGGAGGGAGAAGTGAGCAGTCAAATGGCCGGAGCCCCCTCGGGGCAGCACTTTTATTCCTGAGCATGCTCGGGAGTCCTCATCTGTGACTTCTGCGTGACATGTCCGGCAACCTCAGGATCGAGGCTGGGAGGATTTTGATTCTTGGCTGGACGCCGTGCACGCTCAATTCTCCGGCTGGCCGCTGAGCACAGGAACGTGTGTTGCGTGTGGATGATGAGGCTCCAGTGTTATTGTTCAAGAGATGCGTCAGTCTTCATCATGACTGTCGCATCATGATATCTGAACCAGGGCATCTGGCGACTACGTTCCCGGACACGGACTAGTTACTGCCAAATGTACCAATTTAAGTACGGAGTACACGGCCATCTTAAAATAACTCGTGCCGCGGGCCCCAGCAGATATCAGATATTCCACGGAAGCCCCAAAACGTTGACGATACATCGATCCCCCGCACGCCATCGAGACCTGCTCTGGGTCCAAGTGAATGGAACCACGATCCTCGACATTTACAACAGGCTAGAGGAAGAAACTTCACTAGATATTGTTTTCACTAGATATTGTTGAGTCATGGACCCCCCCAAACCGGTGCGTGGTTGCAGGGGGCATGAAAGCTTTCCACCCATCGTGGCAAGCAGATCGGACGGCATCTCAGGATCGCACACTGGACTCAAGAGCATGACCTAGCCCTCCTTAACGATCCAGAAAGTCCAACTACAATGCCAAGACCGAACCAAAGATCTAGTACAATTGACCTGGTATTCTCTAATATCTCAACAGCTACTATAGCCATAAAATAACACCTCACCACCGGATCGCTACATTACACTGTCGGTACAGAGATCCCAGACAACGAGAGCAGCCCTAGAACTCTAGGAAAAAGTCCACGTCGCTCTACCGGAGGAAATCAAGGCCTTTGCCAAACATGTAGCCAGCACGGTCGCTTCTCTTCCAAGATGTATCCAATCCAGACAAGACATTGACGATGCTGCTGGACAGCTCCTGCAAGTACTCCAAGATGCTGCAAAGGCATGCGGCCGGGTGAGTAAAGGGAGAAAAGCTGGACAGAACCCGTGGTGGAGTAAAGAGTGTAAAGAAGCCCATGAAAATCTTCGTGTTGCTCGATACACTACAGTAAGCCGATATGGAGAGGAAGTTCAACGTGCTAAGATCTACTTCAAAGACGATACTGGGATGAGGTTTATTTAGTGTACAGGACTCATACCCATGAGAAACCAAATCGCTAGCCTTCTCTGCCTACGGTTGCTAGGATAATTATGCACACATCAGCCTTTGCGTCCGAGTTTCCTGTCAGGTTAAACTTGATCCGATGTTCTAAGAAAGCCCCGTTGACACACCAGACGTGACTGCGTGCGGAGAGGAAGAGTAATGAGGAAGAACACAAAGAAGAAGCTGGGTACAAACCTTGGCCTGTGCAGCCTTTGATCGGCCGCATATACGTAAATGCTGATGTGATTACTTTCTGTGTACCAGACAATCAGCACATGTCCCCAGGAAATGAATCCGTTTTCAGCCAAAACTTTACGCTTGGGCCAGAATAAGTACGCAACGCGCTTACTTTGCATCTCCTTTGACGCGCCCACTCCATGATGAGAGCAGTCTCATGATTGGAAATTGAAACCTATCTTAAAGCACTTTATTTCAACATGTGAATCCTACACTAGCATAAGTTTTCTGGAATAAAAGGCTGAAATGTCTCATCCCTCTTTGCAGACCCGGCGTTATACCCGGATGTCTGGTTTTGGCACGTGAGTCTGGCCAAAATTTTCTCAATACATGGGTTGAGTTGGTGGTGAGTTGTTAGTTTATAAGAAGAGTTAGTAAAACTCGACTTTGCTCGGTCCTCGCAGTCTTGTACATGAAAGTGAAGCTGGCCACCAATAACGCAGCCTCTATTCCTGCTCAAAACAGAAGGGATTCAAGCGGCGTGCAGGCAAAAATTGTCAAGTTGTGGTACCTAAAATTGGGAGGCCGCCGTAAGTCATGCTTGGTGAAAACGGCTCCCAGATATGCACGCTGTTCGTGTATTGCAATGATCAAAAGACTGAATTCCAACGTCCCCGACTGTGTGCTATCGCTACTATGCAACCAACATGTCTGAATCTGCCAGAGCTGAGGTGGTCCATGCCGACAGGGTTCCCGCTCCATGTATGCGTCTTTGTCCCAACTCGCCGCGATAATGAGGGCCCGAGGGCATCCACAAAGCTTCTCCAGGCCGAGAAGAACCTCGTGTGAAAATTGCGCCTACAAGAGAAGAAAAAGGCAAATACCACACACAGCCAAGATAGAATTTTTGAAGTGCGCTCGAGCATCTTGGAAGGAAAACGACCAGGGCGACCAAAAACGTCCTGATTATTGGTATTGACATCACCCGGCCCTATGCAGATGTTACGAAAGAACCAATAGTTGCTGATTCTGTATGCAGGATCAAACCGTGGGATCCGGCCTAAACTTGACCAAGGCCTTCCTCAGCCAATCATACAAGGGCTTTGCTACCATAAGACCAGAGAGTCGCCTCGACTCCTCATTTCGAGATGTACGGTCGGCCCTTCCAACACCAACACGCCACGTATGGTGCTCATGGAATCGGGCTAAGCGTATGTGTAGTTGGAGGAAACCGGGGCGACCCTTTGGAGCTTGATTTCTTGGATGAGAATTCCATCTCTTCTGCCGCCCGGGCGTATGGCAACAAACCACTTGACGTCGTCATCAATGTTGGAGGTACGCATCCCCTCCCCCCGGCGCAGGTGTCATCCCTTACAAGCAGTTAGGCCTCCCACCGAATCCAAAGCCATGGAAAGACCAGACAAGCTCCCTTATGCTTGAGAGGCTTCGTGTAATGACGATTGTAAGTCGATGTCACCTGACCCCTGCTATCTGGGGAAGGTTGCTTGCTGAGTAAATTGCGATGCAGGGCCCGTACCTTACAATGACAGAGGTTCTGCCGCAACTAGAGCTGGCCCCAAATCCCAAGGTTATCAATATACCATCTTCTTTTGGCTCCATCTCGAGTAAGTACCCCCTTTATCGCCATCTTGTCCCTTGCATCTTAGGAAAACCCACATATTAGCTAATAATCTATCACGAAGCGAATACATTCGGAACGTGTCTAGCATATCGTACTGCAAAATGCGCGTTGAACCAAGTCTCGGTTACACTAGCTCGAGAGTGGGAGTCTGAGGGGCGCAAAACTACGATTATATGTGTAGAACCTGGCTTTTTGTCTACTAGGCTGACGGACTGGGACGGAGAAGATGATATGGAAACCTGTATCAAGGGACTGATGAAAATCATCAACTCTATCTCACATGAAGACAATGGTGCTTTCTTTAAATGGGACGGTAGCAGGATCCCATTCTAAATGTGGCTTCTGGCAGCAAAGGAGTGGCAAATACAACAATCGCAAAGTTGACGTCCGAGACATGTAGTAGTGTCTTGGCACTACCTCAAATTATGCTATGCTGTAAATATTGCATGGCGCTTCCTCTTGCTGACCACCAGTCCTAAGACTATGTCCACTATCTATGAAGAGTCGAGTCTATCGCTTCTGTGCTGCGGCTTGTCGACATTACTCCTCCACGTGGGGAAAGGGACTTTGCCCATGTTCACCTCCGAGGCAAATTCATTTACAATCTCAACTTAGGGAGCTATTAATAGGCTCACTAACGGCAGGCAATAAGCGCCGCGTGCGTCTTTCCTTCTTTAATCGCTCCCAAATATTTTGTAGACGTTCATGATCTGGCCTAAAAGTTTTATACCGGGTAACTTGAGGCTCCGTCTTTGCTACACTCTCTCCCACCTCGCTTTCCGTCCGCTGGTAGTCAAGTTCTTCAATGTTGTCTTCTATAGCTCCACCTGCCAATCTCCAGTGGTAGCTTCTCCACTGTGAAATATTGTTTAAGAAGCAATCTGGAAGTAATTTCGGCGAGAAGGAACTGTACAGTATTGAGTCTAATGCCTGGCTTATATTATCCATCTACCGCCTAGAACACTTTATCAGGGCCCAAAGTAGAGAGGTTTTGTTGCTTTGAATGCCTCTGATGTATATTAAAGTTCTGTATCTCTCAACCCTAACCCTAAACCAGCGGTGCCAGCAAGCCCAGGTGACTGTACAATCAATCTCCGTCTTGAAAAAATGAGGCTTCCAAGGCATCTGGCTGAGGACCTTTGTTATATTCCGGTTTTTTTTGTAATCAGGTGTTCAACAAATATAGTCCTTCAAGTTCATTTTGGTCCATGGCCTATTTTCCCTTACATGGAAAGGCTAGTGTAACCTTCTCGAACCTGACACTTGACCGAACACACTATAGCATCCAGATCGTCAGTCCAGGAAAAAACGGCCGCCTAATGATAAATGGGCGCCTGGATAAGCATGTGTGAATCGCCACATAAAATAGTGATATTAGTAACCCACATGTATAATTGCTTAAAATATCTGCAGGATTGGACCCCGCACCTTGTGAGTTTAATCATGAACACAACTTGTTCTCATCTATTTTTTAAGCTCGTACAAGTGCGACAACCACAGTCCAAGTTAGCCAGGGAGACTCATTTCGGATCCATATTAGCATTTGGTATTTTGGCATTTTCGGAAGTCACACACGATATCATCATCATGGGCGACATTGCCATTCAGCAACATGCAATCCCCATCATCGAGTTTGGCCCTCTTCTTCAAGATGACTGCCCCTCCGAAAAGTTTGCCGCAATCGGGAAAGAAATCTTCGAAGCGTTCAGGGATTTTGATTTCGCCTACATAAAAAACCACTCAGTGCCACAGAACGTGGTAGACGAGGCATTCCAATGGGTATCCAAGTTGTTCCCTTGAGCGTAGCTTAGACACGAATCTAACCAAAAGCCAGAGCCAACGCTTCTTCGCCTTGCCACAAAGCGAAAAGGACAAGGTTCCCCACCCCTCAGCAGGATGGTACCACCGAGGCTATTCAGGTATCGGTCGCGAAAAAGTCTCCCAGATGGTCTTTGACGAGGAGGGCATCGCCAACCAACGTAAAATGCCAGACTTCAAGGAATCCTACGAAATGGGTGCAGAGGGAAAGCTGCGACACATTTGGCCCGCCGGTGACGTGATCCCCGGGTTCCGCGAGTTCTTCACCCAGTTTTACGAGATATGCTACGGCATGGAAGTGAAGCTGCTCCGTGCTATTGCCGTTGGCATGGGCCTGGAGGAAGATTTCTTTACCAATTACCACCAAACAAAACAAAACCAGATCCGCCTGTTGCACTACCCGCCTGCCGAAGAGGAGCTCCTCGCGACGGGCAAACTAGAAAGTATCAGTGCCCATACCGACTTCGGTACGCTAACCATGCTATTCCAGGATGTCACACACACGATTGTATGGGACAGCCTAGACAGAATGAAAGACTCTTGATTTTCTACATAAAGAGTGGAATAATACGAAACTAAATACTTATTGTGATATTGCTGCCTGGCAGGCAGCAGTATAGTAATGGCTGTTGCCTTGAGTGAGCGACTTGACCTTGACACAGGACCAAGTCGGCGGACTCGAGGTCGAAGATATCCATGAAAGGGGCAAATTCAACCCAGCGCACTATATCCAAGGAACAATGGTTGTCAATATCGGCGATCTACTTATGAGATGGAGCAACGACGTGCTGCGGTCTACGCTGCACCACGTTCGTACGCCTCCTGCTGATGCGCCGTTGAAAGAGGGCGAACCACGGATGACTCGTGAGAGGTACTCGATTCCATACTTTGTAGCCCCGGACATTGACTCTACAATTGACTGTATGCCAGGCTGCTGGGGGCCGGAACGGCCAAAGAAGTATGAGCCTATTAATAGCAGCGAGTACACGGACATGCGGCTGAATGCCACCTACTGAGCAGCATCAAGAGAACGGGCAAAGGTCCAGTGTGACATGAATAAATGAATCTTTTACAAAGAGAGTACTCGTACACGTCTTTCTCGAGATGGTGCTGGCCAACGTAGACCGGCCGTCGTGTTGAACCGTACATGCATGCCGCAAATCGAATTCATCGGCCCCGGCCCGGCTCGGCCATCCGCCAATTCGGGTTGCACGAACAACCGGACTTTTCGCCACCTCTACGCGCCCGTCGATAGATGTACAGGTTTCTTGTTAACTGGGCGTTACTTGATCCCAAACAAGGCCCCATAACCCAACTTTGCTAGAGCGGCATGCTATTCTAGCGCAATCCATCGTACGATCCAGATATGACGCGGAGAGGAACTTGTATCTAGTCCAAAAGACGGACCACCTCAATTTCCTAGCGGTGAGCCATTGATGAAAGAGAATGACGGCAGGGTTTCGCGCCAAGTCACTGGGGCTGATAGCATCCTACCTTGTATTCTTATCTACTTGGCATGCTCACAGGGTTTTACTAGAGCAAAAAGAGACAAAAAAAACATACAACACTAGGTATTCGCTAGTCGTCACCGAGCTAGCTACTAATCTAGCGCTCGCCAGATTCTCCTAGGAGATCGGACGGGACACCGCCTCCGAAATGTGAACTCGCCCGACCTTTACCCGAAACGGCCCGTCCGGACCCGCTTTTCCCGTCCTCTCCGTTTTCCCGTTTCCCCATCCTGCCACCGTTTTGCTTCTCTGTCCCCGGGCTTTCCACTCCGATACCGAAGCGCCGGGCAATGGACGAGACCGCACGCCGCGTCGTGATACACACCCTCATGTTGCCTGTTTTCGACCCTGGCACTCGCATGAAATCCTCACCCAGGCTCTGGCTCTGGGGGGAGGCGCCCAACGCCGCCGCCCCCTTCCTCCCCCTGGTTTTATCGACAAGTCTTTTTCTACATTGGTCCTGTCGCAGGTCCATGTTCAGTCCGCCCTGGCGTTAATGTGCCGTGTTGGTCAGCCCGTGATATCCTACTTGAGAATGCCTACGTGTACTGCAGGGCCCCATTGCCCCATTGGCCTGATTGAATTCAAGTGACGGACTGACTAGATAAAATGGTCCCTCTCCCCCTTTCATTTGTCCTTGTGCGATTTGCCGTCCATGCCATTCAGTCCTTTGCCCCCCTTCTCTCATTCACGTGTACTGCCACTGAAGCTGCCTTCGCTCACTTTATCATCATGCCCCGAGATCCGAAATCTTCCCTTCGCTTTGGCCGCCCAAGTGTGCGTCGGTTCAACAAAGATGCCGCTAAGGCTGCGGTGCAGAAGTATCAGGAGAAGCCGCTTAGTGAGGTTTGCCGCCTTGACCCGAAAACGAGGCAGCGTCGCGAGAGGATCTGGCAGAACTGGGAAGAGTGAGGCATCCCCCTCTTATCTTTATTTCTAGGCAATGAGCTGTTACTGATTTTATTCCATGTAGATTTGCCGCTTGCGCTGAAGTCGACCCGGTCGATATCTGGTTTGACCTTTGCTTAGGCAAACCAGAAGTTCAAGCCATCTTCCAAGGATTTCTCAGACAATACTGGGAGCAGTCTGTGACGTTGCGTCCCTGCCTTGGCCCTGAGGAATATGAGGAAGTACATACGATTAATTGCGCGTCAACAATAGAAGATGTATGGTGTTTGCTGGTCAATCATGCAGACGATCGGATTATGAAACCAAAAAGGCTTCAAGATCGCGAGAATGCCGGAATCTGGTCATTGAAGTATTCTTCTAGGAGGACTTCATCGACTTGTGGTCCTACTTATGAGATAGCTCGTGTGAGTCCTTGGGCCCTCTCCTTATCAACAAACTTCTCTAATCCCTAATTAACTATAGTGGATTCCTGAGTTCGGCACAGAAGTAGGATTAAACTTGGGGCAGACTTTCCAAAAAGATGGCGCGACTACAGACGATATTTTAACTATTCTTTCCACTGTGTGGGATAGAGCAAATGATGTTAGGTGTTCACCTGACGATAGACTCTCTTTCACTATGTATGTTGTTGAAATGGGTCTAGGAGGTTGGCGGCCAGGAGCGTTAGAACTGAAGAAGTATAATCATGTAAAGCTCGCGTGGGTTAGAGATCCTGTTAACCCATCTGTTACGCGGACTATATGCTGGTCTACGGTTGATCATAACAAGCTTCGACGGCTTAGAATCGAGCGAGAACGACGTTCAAGGTAAATGATCCCAATAATTTATTCCATCACTCATAGTTGATAAATAAGCTAATATGCGGCTCATATAGCTTGAGCTACGCACTCTCCGTGGTTCCAACGTTAGTTCTATGCTTAACTACCATGTTCACAATACGAGCAATAAGAGATAATGCCTTTGAAGCTGGGTTTACGTCCTGTGATGAGGTGCTTCACCCTGAAACACTCGAGGAGGGCGTTAACTTTGTAGAGTTGCGCTGGAAAGAGGAGTTTATGAGTGATGATAAGTATATTATGCCAATGAATTACCATAAATTTATTAATCTTTGGAACGAGGTGCGAATGGTATTGGGATCTCGATCAAGCCTCCGCCCCTACTCAGTTCGTGTTGGCGCGGTGGGTAGATTGGATGGTAAGCGGCCTCTGAATTGGAATACCTTCTTGCCTCTAACCGTTTATCCCTAGGATGTCTTCAGCCGGCACTTCGAAACTTTATAGTATCTCATTCCACCGAGGTATTTGAGCGAAGCTATCAGCCAGTTAGACTGCGTGCGAACCTAGCGAATATCGCATTCGGCGATAAAGCAAGGCATGACACAGCGCTATGGGAAGCTATCTCTAACAGCCTGCATAATCGAGACCCAAACGCGCCTACACGTCTAACTAAAAACGAAATTGATCAATTTGAATCAAGAAAAGATATAACAGAGCTTCGCAAGGAGCTGAAATACATCACAGCCAAAGAAGGGTCATCTAGTCAAGAAGCAAAGAAAGTCTCATCGCGAATCAGATATACTCTTGACTGCCTAGAGAGACTAGAAATTCAGGAAAAACGCCGCAAGTACTTTGAGGAAGCAGATAAGCTACGTGCAATGAACAAATCAACGGCACATCTTAAACAAGAGGTGCAAAATTTAAAAAGAAAGAGGTTCGGAAATAGCAGTGCCGATGCCGCTAAGCTGGCTAGTCTTTTATTCCAAACGAATATCACTTCCGCTCAAGCCGATCGTCTTGTCGCTTTTATAAGCGGAGCAAGCGTACTGAACGAGATTGGAGATGTTCATCATTTCAGGAAGGAATCGAAGGAACCCGCGCGATGTCTCTTTGGCTGTGGAACCTTCTTTAACACGTCAGCGCTCACAAGACATGTTCGCCATCTACACATGCATATCTTTAAGGCCCGGTTCTTGTGCCCCGAGTGCAAGCGGATGAACCTTGGAGATGTGGTGATTGAGGCAAATCCCTGTGCCTGGAGTAGTCATGTCCGAAGAGTCCATGGCGCGGTTCACACCCCAAACCTAGAGTCTCTACCGGATGTTCTCTGCCTCTTATGCGACCAACAATACAAACAGAGAGGGTTCTCTCGCCACCTGAGCACTCATCGTGAGCTGTTTGACGAGCCAGTCTCATGTCCAGCATGTCTACAAGAGGGCAGGAAGGTCGAAGTCGAGGGAATGGGAGGCTGGATCACCCACGTAGCAGACGTTCACGGAGGTGACAGAGTTCTCGGAGCCATAGAGGTCTACAAGACCTCATGTTCAGATGCTGAAATCGCTCCAATAGACATAAACCCTGCCGAGGCGCAACACAGAAAAGAGCTTGCGAGAAGACGACAAGTTGATCGCAAGAGAAAGGCGGGTAACGCTGTGCCATCGGCCCCCCTCCCATATAAACGGGCGAAAACGGCCTTATCACAACCTTACGCACATACTAGTGGTGACTCGGATTGGGAAGTCTCATCACCTGATCCTCACGCGGATGAAGAGTTCTGGGTTGATGGAAGGGAGTAGTCAGCATGGCCGTTTTAAAAGCGACCAGACCCGTGACCAGAGATGGGTGATGAGTATAAGAGGGACCGTGCCCTCCTTCGAAGCTTAACAAGAACATAAACCTCATTTCATTTTTACTTGTAACTTATCATTCTCGGCCTACCTTCATTCAACTGGCCTCCCCTCTACTCTTGTCGACAGAGCTCTCCTACTCTTCCATTCATAAGGAGAGCCTAAACGATCCTACCTGACTCCCCGCCCCTGTTCTTCTCTGCCTTCATCGTTTTTAGGCGAACGCTAACTTCACGATGGTGAGGATGGATAGAATAACTTTGGAGAAGAATTATTCCTGGCCGCCCCCCACTCGCCGCTGTTCATTGCTACGATCCTTTGCCTCCGCAAAGGAGTCTTTCGCACCTCCAGCCGGGTCATCACCTATCAGTGCAAGGCACTACGATTCTGTCCCCGGCATTGACCCGCAAAGCCCTCGCGAACATCTTCAGTCCGTCCTTAAAAATGGTCTTGGAGGCTCCGACTTGGATTCAGGAGATATGACATCGAGAACTGTTAGCCCAGAGACCGACTTAGAAGTTGCTCCAATACGTGTGGCGGACGATAAAAAGACCACTGGAAGGATCCAACGGAGTAATCAGAAGAGAAAGGAGAATACACCAAGAAATACTAGCTCTAGAGAACGTCGTATTCAGAAGAAGCGCGCCTCGGTTAGCAGAAGACAGGTTTTTGATTACTCACGCTTAGAAGCGATCCGGGAAGGTGTCGACGGACGCATTCAGTTCAAGATCTGTTGGAAGCCAACCTGGGGTACTCTTGAGGACCTCCGGGGAACTCGGGCACTGAAAGAAGCTGAGGAGCTCATCGTCAATGAGTATGACAAAGTTAAGTGGGATGAGGAGATGCGTAGGTCTGGTCGTCTTGCTTTAGCTATGAGATCAAGTAGAGGACATTAATGAATAGCCTGTTAGGCGCTATCTTATGTTTCTGACTTTGCTTTCGCAGACAGTTTCTCCTGCAGTTGCTGTCAACCTACTTCATAACCCCCTTTTCACAGCCAGAATGACTAACAAGCTAACAATCGACTCATGAAACTAATGGATTCAACGTGCCGCTAACGGCGATAAGGTAACGAGACGCAAATCTAATTTTTAAGTGTCTACTTCTAACATGTATGGTTAAATCATATTGCCTAGTTCAACAACGACTCAAGAGTTACCATAGAGTGTCATGACCATATTCGGCCGCTAGTTGTAGTGCTTTTGTCCGATGCGAGTCGGACGTGTACGCCCCTGCATTAACCAGCAACTTCGAGATATCTATTCTGCCATGTTCTGCTGCTCCCTCTAGGGCCGCCGAGTCTCTTTCGCAGCAGCCAGAGTGCTCACGTCCGCTCCAGCCTCGATAAGCAATCGGGATACTCCGATGTGTCCGCTTATGGTTGTGGCTTGCAGAGCGGTCAGGCCACGAGAGCTTGGAAGGGCGTTAACACCTGCCCTAGGGTTAAGCAAATGTTCAACTAGTTTAATATTCCCTACCTAAGAAGCTACTTTTAGTGCTATGTAATAAACCTGAGCAAAGGTCGAGAAGTTGCTTCCTATGCATTGGCGCTGCATTCTTGCTGCCGCCCGATAACCCTCGTGTGCAAGATAAGATTTAGGAATTTAGTACGCTACGGGATTTAAGCAAGCACTTCCGCCAAAGACACTATCGCAACTGCAAGAGAGCGTATGTATAGTCTGCGATATAACTCTCTCTCATAAGATGCATCTGCAAAGGCATGCTATATCAATTCATAGAACAGTGTCGCGAGGGCTGCGCTACCAAAGAATCAACATTTAATCATATATTCTACCCATACTGCAATCAAGCATGCTTTCTTTTCCAACCCATTATTTTTAGCAACTAAAATGTCGACCTGGGATGCACGTTCTACCATGGCGGACGTGCAGATGTGACGCACTGTTTTTCTGTGGGACATGAGCTCAGCAAACCGATCTAGAAATGACCTCAGCTGTTCTAGCTCGCTGCCGTTGACCTGGTCCAGCGAGCACCGTGCAAGTCTCATTCAACTCGCCAACGTCTTCTGGTGCTTCTTCTTCGTCTTCAAAGTTGCTGGAGACTTCCTGAACTTGCCTCTCAAATTGTAGAAAAAGAAGTTTAATCCATGCGCGAAACCGGTTCTTGTGCAAACCATCCACTGCCCAGTGGAAGGATGTGCTTTCGTCTCCCTCAGGGGCGATTCTGTGTGAGCTGAATCGGCCATCGGCGGGGCTGTGTTCAAGAAGATTAACCTAACAAGTGGCTAATCTACGAGGTTCTAGTGAAGTGAGATGCAGGAATTGCCCTACGGCGTGATCACAACTGGGCCGATTCGGTTCGCGGCATGCAACTCTCGTGCTCGACGTGCAGAATCCAAAATATACCGTGGCCTGCTGAAAACAAAAGACAAAGCAAGGAACTGCAGATTTGTTGATCATTATGCCTTTTCAGAGGAATGAAACAGGTTTTTGCTCGTTCAGACAGTGCGCTGGACTGGCGTGCACGCGATGAGTGGTCGCGTCTGTCTCGCGCGTACTCGCCGCCAGCATCCTCACTTGTGCAGCCACCGTCTGCATGACCACGAGTCCCAGCCACACAACCTTGGACCAATTTATCGAGTATCTTTGCAAATCGGGAGTACGCTACCCGTTGCCACGCCCGTGGTGCGAGCAAATTGCGAACGAAACTAGTGGTGGGCCGGGGCCCCACATCTTTACCGACGGGTACATACCTTCTCGGATTAATTGCTTAACGAACTGGGCAGGTACCTCATTCGTTTCGCCGCACGAAGTCGAACGCCCCTAACGTTAAAGATGAGCAAGTAGGCCCCATGTTGCGCGAACCATTGGTTGCACACTGACAAACGCTCATAGAGTCTTGCGGGTGGTGTTTGCCTGGGTCTTTATCATACCCTGGCCCGCCCATCCTATTTGTCCTTGGCGTATGTCGACTCAGCGCCACCTGCAAAAACGGCGCTAGCGACCAGTAATGCTCGTCCCCTCGCCCTTCACGCCCTCACCAAAGCCAAAAATAATCTCGAAAGCCACACCACCCTCAAAGATTCCGGCTCATGGAACGGATGGTGACCAAAAGCATATGGACGTGCTCAAACACCTAGTGAACGTACAACCATACCATACTGACAAAGACATCTGAATGAATTAGCTGGTTATACTAAGCGTCACTAGACAGGGCTACAAGAGCAAGAACCCCACTAAGCAGGATGAAGGGGTTGTATTGCAGATTGGATGCTGTTCTCGGTGGTCACTGGCTTCAGTATTGGCAACCCGCCAACTCTCAATGACGTGCATTGACAAACAAAAGGATCCAAGCGTCTTCCCTCTCTTTGCCAGTAGCAAACGATGGCTTTGGGCCGTTTGGGTTTAGTGTTTGCTCAATCAGGTCGTGCCAGGCGTTGTACTCAGGCCCAGACTAGTCCTCTAGGAGCTTAAAAGAAGATGCGTTAAGAGCTATTTCTATGAGTTCGTCAACCGCCTCGGCAAGCCTAAACAAACTTGGGAAAGCTAGCCAAATAATTGTGATACTTGCTATTTCGGTCGCTCTAAGCTCACCATAAGGTTCTAGGGTTGGCAGCTCATGTGTCCCTCACGCGGGTGAATATAACTTTTCAAAATTTGAACGCCGCCAGCATGAAACCTGTGAAGGCGATAGAAGTCCATTGTGAGTAGACACTAAAGACAGACTCAATCTCCAACCTCAAAGTTTACAACGCACTGTGACTGCCTTCTGGATCTGTCCATTGGCCTCGTATGCTCCAGCTAGTTCATGTTGTGATGCTAGCCGATCGGGATGGTCTTGGGTAAGTGTTGTCTCTTGAATCTTAACAACCTGCTCTAGCAGTGTGACTGCCTTCTGGATCTGTCCGTTGGCCTTGTAAGCTCCAGCTAGTGCATGTTGTGATGCTAGCCGATCGGGATGGTCTTGGGCTAGTGTTGTCTCCCGAATCTTGACAACCTGCTCTAACAGTGTGACTGCCTTCTGGATCTGTCCGTTGGCCCTATATGCTCTAGCTAGTTCCTGTTGTGATGCTAGTCGGGAGGGATGGTCTTGGGCAAGGGATGTCTCCTCAATCTCAACAACCTGCTCTAACAGTGTGACTGCCTTCTGGATCTGTCCGTTGGCCCTATATGCTCTAGCTAGTTCATGTTGTGATGCTAGCCGATCGGGATGGTCTTGGGCAAGTGTTGTCTCTTGAATCTTGACAACCTGCTCTAGCAGTGTGACTGCCTTCTGGATCTGTCCGTTGGCCTTGTAAGCTCCAGCTAGTGCATGTTGTGATGCTAGCCGATCGGGATGGTCTTGGGCAAGTGTTGTCTCCCGAATCTTAACAACCTGCTCTAGCAGTGTGACTGCCTTCTGGATCTGTCCATTGGCCTCGTATGCTCCAGCTAGTTCATGTTGTGATGCTAGCCGATCGGGATGGTCTTGGGCAAGTGTTGTCTCTTGAATCTTAACAACCTGCTCTAGCAGTGTGACTGCCTTCTGGATCTGTCCGTTGGCCTCGTATGCTCCAGCTAGTGCATGTTGTGATGCTAGTCGGGAGGGATGGTCTTGGGCAAGGGATGTCTCCTCAATCTCAACAACCTGCTCTAGCAGTGTGACTGCTTCCTTGATTCTCCCATCTTGAAACAGACATCTTCCCGCCCAATAGCCTAGGCCGGATACTATAATGGGATCTATCTCCTGATACGCCCCAAATACATGAAGTACGTGGGGTAAATGTAATCGCCATACATCTCTATTCTCCCAGGCGTCAGATTGAAATACTTCAGCAAGATGACGAAGCGTATCTGCCTTCGTTTTCGTCTTAATGCCTTGATCTTCGGCCCAAGATTGCATAACCATATGCACTAGGCTATGCATGTCAAATATCCCTCGTTCCGATCTGCCGCGAAGGAACCCATAACTCTTCAGCGTCCCTATTGCCTTGACTTTCTCTTGTTCTGAGCCTACATCAGGCAACATCGACTGAGGAATAGCCTGAGGTTCTATCCACATTATGAAGAAGAGCAACCTTGTAGCCGCTGGGTGGTGCTTCTGGAGCTGGTTGAAAGAAATTAGCCACGTTGTGGCTACCGCGCCCTGGCTCTCGTCGTAAAGTGCATCATCTTGATATCGGTTGCGCATTAATTCCATCATATCTTGTTGAGAGTGGCGACACAGCATAAGATATTCTTCGACAGGTACTTCAAACACATTCATATAGGCCGCTGCCTGTACGATAGCCAGCGGCAGGTAAGTCAACAAATGTAGCAGCTCGTTGACAATATGGTCTTCCCAAATGAAATGCTCGGAAATTAGAGAAGTCTGCAGTAGACATTTAGCGTCTTTACGCTCCATCTCTGCGATTGAGATCACATTTTGCTTTGCAAAATCGACGGCTATTTTGCGCCACCGTGTCGTGACTAAGACTTGACCGTTCCGGTTCCGTGGCAAGTAGGCGTATATCCCTCGAACACCTTTAGATCCTTGCAAGACATCTTCACTGTCGGCATTGTCAAGAATGAGAAGCCATCGGCCGACTGCTCCTGAGCTTAGATGCTGCTGAATAAGCTCTCTAGCATCATCTTCCCGGTTGCTTTGGAGGTTTAGTATCTTGACAAGATCTGTACATGCCTGTTCGAAGCCTGCCATGCTAAATGCAGGAAGCCAGAGTATGCTGCACCTTGGATCTTCATTGTCCACCATATAAGCAATCCTTAGAGCTACTTGGGTCTTCCCTACCCCACCCATACCGACCAAAGCAACGCGATCCTTCCTGTTATTAAACAGTATATTAATTAAGGATTGAATCACACCCTCGCGACCCACAAAGCTATGGTTTTCAGCGAAGGGCACGGAGAATAGCCGATCTAGCAACGATTAGCAGAGAAAATGGGTCAAGTAATAGGCGGGAGAGCTATAAATGATGCTACAGCACACTCGAGCACGCGTCGCATCCGCCCGCCCGGGGAGCTCGTTCAACCAGCACGCGTATAGCTGCCAGCTTAGGGTGGCGAACAAATCAACTTACGATCACAGCGCTCTCGAAGGTAGTTATGTGCTCTTGTAGCCAGGTCCACGATTGCTTTCTCGGCAACTACATACCCTGGATCTGAGGGACCGGAGAATTTCTGGAGATTATAATGATGACGTTCCAGGGGATACCGTTCTATGCTCTTGGATGGATCTAAACATGCTGATTCCGCTGGTATGAGGTACCCCTGCAATACGATTAATATGGCCGCTGCCAAACAGCTACGACGATTGACTTACATCTTTTATAGCACTATTTAGCAGTGTCTTGCCTATCGGACTTGGCTTAGTCTCGTAGAAACACCAAAGTGGTATCGGATGATCGCCTCGACGTGTTTCTGTAAACTGATAGACTATATTCTGAAGATAGGGATTCTCTTCAACAGACAGCGCCATCGTTTCTGAATAGATTTGAAGGTCCGGATTATGTTGCGCAACTGCCTCAACAATTTGCACTAGCGTAAGGCCTCTTCGTCCTCGAAATGGTGTTCCAAAAAATATGGCGCCAGCTGTAAACCGGAATAGGTGCCTCCACTTATCAGGATTGTCGAAAGAGCGTCTAAGAGCCTGCATAAGCACAAGGCCACCGTAACTATGTGCGATAAATATTATCGGCCGAGTAATATCCTAATTATTCCTCAGCACAATGGGCAGGTGGCCATAGATTTCTGGCTCACCTGGCGATGGAGTTCCAGCTGTTTGAGCAACATTTCAGCTACGTCGAACACGTGTGTTTTCTTGGGCTCGTCCAGTTTAGTACCGTACCAAGCGGATTCATATCCAAAACGCATAATCCGGGCAGTAGGTACCGCCTTAGGGAGCATTCCAGAATCCGAGAGCCAGCTGACTTGTTCCCCGGCTGGCCCCCGCCCAGTCCAAGTTTTGTCCGGGTCGGCTCCAATTCCGTGAATTGCGACGATACTGCAAAGCGTCAACAATGTGTGACTAGTCCATGATGAGAGCACATACTCAATTCCGTCATCATTCTTGTTAGGACTGCCTACATCTTGTTCTGCAGGCTCAATCAAGACCCTGATCCCAGGACCCGAAGCTGTGGATTGACCACCACTGTTCATTTTGTTTCATCGACGTGGAGGGGTCCAAATTCGTCACTGTTTAAATGCAGATTTTCAGGGAGCAGTAAATCTAAAGGCGAATTTCCCAATGTGTAAGAAAACTACAGAATAAGGCCATTGAGTGGTAATAAGAGCTGCGACGCAGCCTCACTTTGTCGACCCCGCTTGGCGACCCCGCTTGTGAGTGATTCATTTTCTCAATCGACATAGCCACACGCATTCGCTGCCTAACACGACCTGCCAGCGCTGATGCCCAACTGAAACTCAAACCTTCCAATACACCAGTCTTTATTCGAATGCATTTTTATGCGGCTGAATATTTATTAAAATTTTGCTCTGGCTCTAATTCTGTTTGTCTACCGGGACTCAGCCCTTACCTGCACGTCGTTTCTCTTCGGGTTACACAAAAACGTCATATCTTCCGCGATGTCGGGGTGGGAATGGCTTTCTTCCTCTCTGAATGAGGAACCAGAACTCTTTGGCGAGTTTAACCAATGCCTGGCCTTTTCTTCAACCCTTCAGGTTCGCAAATAGCAACAAAATCACCCCAGGAAATATCTCGCTGATCTAAATTATGCCATTTTCCGCCAGGATGTAACAGTTGACCCTCGAAACCCGACGAGCTCAGTTCCTTCCCCGCCGAAGAGGTTCACGTTTGACTCCGAAAAAGACGTGTATAGCTTTCTTGGCGATATCGATAAGGCACACTCTCTGCTCAATCAACATTATAGAAATCTTCCACTAATTGTTTCCTCTACTAATATACAGTCAAATATGTGTATATTGTAGGTATTTGTACTGGTCTACGAACTTTAGTGGAACATGAGTAATGAAACGACAGGGCATTCACGAATCGCACGAACGAACGTAATGGAAAACTACCTCTCCCAGTCTCCAGAACATTATTTAAGCATACGATGCAAGTCTTTGACTTGCCCGCATCGTTCTTAACTGCTCTGAATGCCGGTCTGGCAATTTATGCAGACACAGTTCCGGCCAGCGGTACAGAGGCTGTTTCAACATGTGAAAGTATACGTTCGTAAACTATTACATTTCCTGCGTGAAGAAAGCTACTTAATAACAGTCCAGAATACGTTATTCAGCAGAACGGGGCATACTCTGCATTCTCGATAGCTATGAATCACAATGTTAGGACCCTCAAAACTCGTGTCCTGATACTTGGAGTGGAATCATCGACACTGCTAGATTTGTTCGAATATGTCGAGTCAATGCTACCCCGAATACCGGGGCCAATGCTGATTCCTACTATAGCCATGGAGCTGCAAGCTCATAGCCTCAGCATGACCATTAAAAACTGTAGGAGGCACATCCATACTATTGAGACCACGACTGGGATGAGACAGTTCAACTATCCGCATGAGAAAAGGGACGACAACGCTTCAGATTGGAAGAACCTGGATTTGATCTCAATTACTCGTGAACTTAGCAGCTTTCTCGCTCGATTTGCCTTCATCAAGATGCAGGCAGAGACTGGAAGGCATCTTGTGCAGCAGATGATTCGAAGTACTAACTTACTGATTGTGGATAACGACCAACGAGAACTTGTTTACAAACTCCAGCATGTAGATAATTGGTTTCTGGGGGTCGCACCGAATTGCGGCTATTTGTCAGAGCGAGCTACAGCGCAAAGCCAAACTGTATGAAACACAGCCCACTCAGAGAGCCGCAAGCTAACTAGTACAGGTCTATTGCCTCATTGCGTCCCAGGATAGCTCAACAAATATAGAAATTGCTCAGTCGTCTCGCGAAATCGCTGAGCAAAGCCATAAGGAGAACGGGGCCATGAGGTCGCTTGCAGAGCTCGGTCGGCAAGACAACGAGCTGATGATCCAAATAGCAAGAGACTCTCGGGCAGTGGCGCTCGCAGCTGCACAAGACAGCGCAGCAATGCAGGTGATTGCTGCGGTCACGATGCTATTCCTTCCTGCCACCTTTACAGCTGTAAGTTACCAAACCAAAAATTTTAAAATACGAAGGTGTTTACTGACAATGACTAAAGACATTCTTTTCGATGACCTTTTTCAATTTCCTAGACTCGGAGAAACCACGGGTGTCCGCATGGGCCTGGATGTATGTCGTAGTTACGGTAGTACTGACGATAGTCGTCCAGCTGGCTTGGGGAGTAATGTCTAGAAGAAAGAGTTCAAAAATTACACAGACGACCACGACGGAGTTATGAATTCCTGTATTTCAATGGTTGACTCATCTACCCCTTCTTTGTCTTTTTGCAGTCTTGTTTCTCTAGGTTATCGAACACAAGGTATACCCAAAGATAAGTGCGATGGGTCTTCTGTCGTAGCGTTGCCTCCAGGTGACACCTGATTTGGTCTGAGAGGCTTTTTTCCTTCGATAGCTGATTAGCCCGGTATGCAATAACGCGACTTATCTCCCGATTAATGGTCTCTGACTCTTCCTCTGCTGGTATACGGATATTTGGAAAGCTTCTAACAGGCTGTCGAAATTGGACACGATTTGGTGATACGGGCGGCTCGTAAGATACTTTAAATTGCCACCGCCCAACCGGTCGCTGCTGAACTGGCTGTCTATATTCCACACCAGGTCCGAAAACTCAAATTCAGCGCATTCGTCCAGGGCATCGAGCTATAATTATGGGTCCTGCCCGGGGATCTTTGGTGGCGTTTCTTAGGATCTTCCAGAGCGATTCTGCGGAGTGAACCAACCCATGCCCATCTTTACTGAATTGTCACTTGCCACCACCGACTGGCCCTGACATCAAGTCATACGACTACGAGACATTGACAATACAACTGGAGGCTGATTTAGGAGACCCGTTGTGTGAAACCTTTCCCCCTGGATCGTCTTGCCGAACTCATACTGGAATATGCCGCCATTTCTATTCTGAGGAGCACTGACCACGATGTCGCCTAGTCGGACATGTTGTTATGCACTCGGCGCACCACCCCCGATGTCTACCATCAGACCGATTCTGACATTAGGAAAGCTGGCAGCATGTCTCTTGCGACGACTGCCGCAGAGGATGTACCGTACTCCCCATCTGGCAAGACAGCCCATCCTGCCCAGTGTGTAATTGTTGTTGTCGGCGGATGGGAGAGATTCCGGTCCGTCATGTTTCTCATCTGGGAAGGCCTGCGCGACAACGTACTCCGTAATTATAGCACAGATCCAGCCGACGGTGTAGTCTCCAGGGTCAGGCATACCGACTCATGGAGGGCCTCGGCGTGGATAAGTGAGATTGTAAGTTCTTTAGTGCATGGAGAAGGCTTGCAGAAGAGAAGCATCCCAAAGAAATGACAGATTAAGCGTCGCCCACAACCCAACACCCAGAGTGACTGGGAGAATACCTAATTGGGAGAACATCGGAGATCGGCTGACACTCGTTGGGCTCCAAATGTCGGGGGAACCAGGGCTGTCACTTGCACAACGCAGAAGGAGTGAGACCACCCCACTGCCGGTCTATGCGGGTGACAGCCATTGTTTTTGACCAACGAGCGGGAGATGTTGGAATATCGCGCAGTCTGTGTAACCGGAGTGTCGTCGCTC